AGTAGTACAGGAGCAGAAGTTAATTGTTGTTTCAATTCGTTAAAAGCAGTTTCTTCTGTTAATTCCCATTTAAATGGTTGATCCTTTTGAAGTAGTGATGTTAAAGGTGATGCAATACTGGAAAAATTTTTGACAAACTTGCGATAATAGTTGGCAAGTCCCAAGAATGATCTAACTTCTGAAACATTTGTAGGTGCTGGCCAATCTTTAATAGCCGCTGTTTTTCTTGTGTCAACAGCAATTCCTTCAGCAGAAATATAATGACCCAAATATTCCACTTTACTTTGTAAAAATTCACATTTGCTAAGTTTCGCATATAATTTATGTTGTCTCAAAATTTTCAAAACTTGATGTAAATGTTGCAAGTGTTCTTCCTTTGTTTTACTATAAATCAAAATGTCATCTAGGTAGACAATTACAAATTGGTCCAATTGTTCCCTGAAAATGTCATTCATGAGTGTCATAAAGGTGGCAGGTGCATTTGTAAGTCCAAATGGTAATACTGCAAATTCATAATGGCCATAACGTGTGCGAAATGCAGTTTTGTGAATATCTTCTTTCTTAATTCGAATTTGATGATACCCAGAATAGAGATCAATCTTTGTAAAGTATTTTGCACCAACAACTCTATCTATTAATTCGTCAATTCGAGGAAGAGGGTAACGGTTCTTAATGGTAACTTTATTTAATGCTCTGTAATCAATGCAAAGACGGAGTGTCCCTTCCTTTTTATGTACAAAAAGTACTGGAGCACCAAAAGGAGAAGTACTTGGACGAATAAACCCTTTTTCAAGTAGATCAGCTAGTTGTCTTTTTAATTCATTCAATTCAGCATAAGACATTCGATAGATAGGACGAGATGGAGGTTCAACACCTGGAAGTAATTCAATAGCATGGTCAATGTTCTGCTTAGGAGGTAGTTGGTTTGGTAGTGTTTCAGGAAAAATATCAGAGAATTTCTGGAGGATATCTTTGACTTCAGGTGCATAATTCTTAATAGGTGGTCTATTATTATCATCAAGGTTGGCAAGACAAATTGCAAAAACTTCATCACTGGCAGGCACTTTTGCTAATTGCTGTCGTGAAATAAAAATAGAATTACAACTAGATTCCTTGTGTGTGTTTCTGGGATCAGCATCAACGATGATAGTCTTTGGTCCATATTGAAATGTCAATATATTTGCTCTCCAATTAATGCTAGGGTTGGCATGGTAGAGCCATGGTTTTCCCAATATGACATCATAACGTTGTAACTTAATTACTTGTGCTGTGATTCCAGTAGTATGATAGGAACCTAATTCCAGTTTATTGATGTCAATGATCTTGTTAGTTTCGGTCTTAGTTCCATCTGCTAACTCAACAGAAATAGGTGACACATCCCTTGTTTTTAATTGATTCTTATTTACGAATTCCTCATCAATAAAATTTCGCGACGCTCCACTGTCGAGGAGGATCCAAGCATGATACCCATTAATTATACCCTTAAACCGAAGTAACCTTTCTTGATTTCCTTCCACTTGTGTTAGTTCTAGACTTTTGTTAACAAGAGGTGGTTGTTGCTGCTGTTGTTGTTCATCTTCAATGTTAGTAAGTTTGGCTTTTCTTCTACAGTCCCTTGCATAATGTCCTGCTAGGCCACATTTATAGCAATTTCCTTTAAATTGTTTCTTGTCATTTCCTCTATTATTGTTGTTATTATTATAGAAATTTTGTCGAGGAGTTTCTACTTGGTCCAATTCCATTGGTACATACCTACCATTACTATTATCATTACTACTGTTATTGTTATTATAATTATTACTGCTGCTACTGTTATAGTGAGTGTAATTGTAATTTCTTTGGGTTCGTCCTGAACGGGAGGGTTTTGTATGTTGATTGTTTGCAAAGGGTCTTCCCATCCCAAACATTGCAGTATCATATTGGATAGCACGTGCTATAGCTCTTTCTAATGTATCAGGAGCTTGATATGCCACTTCCATTTTCGTTGCTGGCTTTAGTCCTTCTATGTAATAGGTTACCTGGTCCAATTCTCTCATGTCCTTGATCTGGCCAATTATATTTTGAAATTGGGACGTATATTCTTGCACAGTACTGGTTTGTCGGAGTCTTTTAAGTTGTTGTCGGAGGTATTGTTGAAAGTTGGGAGGTTGGAATGCAGTTCTTACAGCAGTTGCAAAAGTTGCCCAGGTAGTATATGGCAGGATATTATTATTTCCTACTACTTTGTTTAAATACCAGTGCAAGGCTGCATCTTTGAGTCCAGTTGTAGCGTAATTGACTTGAGTGGCTTCGTCTGTGATTCCTTGAGTTCTTAAAACATTTTGTGCTTGTAGCAACCATGCCACGACATTCTCTTTTGATTCTCCTTTAAAGGGAGGAATTTGTACAGAAATTTTCGGAGTGGCTGTAGGAGGATTCTGTTGTTGTTGTTGTTGTTGTTGACCCATAGCCTGAGTTAATTGTGCTAAAGCAGCTATCAAGTTATTTATGTCAGTCATTTTTATTTCTAATGCCAAAAAAAAAAAATTTTTACTAGGTTATATGTGTGTTGTATTAAATGTGTTAGTATGTGTGTGTGTAAAAAAAAAATATATATGTGCATGTGTATGTATTTAACGTCCGCTGCTACCAAGTTGTAAGAATTACTTTTCTTAATGAGAATAAAAACAATATTATAACATGTTCGTCAAACAGGTACTTTAATTATTGTAAAAATACAAGTTATCTTTATTATCTTAAGAATGATGTCCTTTATATAATAAAATTACATAGATTGATATAATATAAATAAAATATAAATAATCATAATAATTCTTATCAATCTATCTGGAAGATTTGTGGACATAAATAAGTAATAAATAATAGAAATAATTGATGTTACAAATAATGATTAATTATGTGTCACGTTTCCAGATGTAAATATTGATGTACTACACAAGACGTTGTATATGATTACAAAGTAAATTGTTACAATTGTAGAGCTTGTTTTTTTTTGATAATAATCACAGTTGTTAGCTGATTTTGGGAAAAAAGTAATCCAGTGATTGTTTTGACTTTTCAACATTCTTTGTAATAATGATCATAAAAAACTGCCCATCATTTGGTCATTGAGTTAAAGAGCTCATAATTTGGTTATCATGGAAAGCCATTTTATCACTTCAGATTTGATAATGATCAACTAACAACTGTGATAATAAAAAATTATTTGATCAATGAAATTATAGATCTTTGGCTAATTTTTATATTTTCATAGAAACCAAAAAGAATTTTATCCGAATCTCAAAATCATTTGGTAGCTGAAGAGGTAAACATGAATTTTACTTGAGACAATAAATAAGTTGTAATATATCTTACCTGTTATTTATGTTATTTCTGTTATTTTCCCTCAAGAACCCTCATCTTAATGATGACTCAATAAATTGGGAATTTGGAATGCCAACATGGTTAACAAAAGTGATTTCTTACTGGGAAAAACATATTTCATTGGAAGATCAATTTAAAAAGATGGATGAAACAAAGTAAGTGTTAGTTTTTTCTTTTTAATAAGTCAAATAATTGCATCTAACTTTAAAAAAATAAAAATAATTACAGTATGGTGGCAATAATAAATAAGTCTGATTGGGAAGGGTCATCAGAAATTCCTCACAGAATCTGACTTTAAGGATTTGCAACAAATATTTCAAGTTCCCTTGAACTTGGGAAAGAATCAGAAACATGGATGAATATTGATAAGAATGCAAATTTATTATTACAAGATTAAAGATGGTTCCTCAATTAATTGCAACTAATTGCAGTTGCAGTTGTGGCATGTGAAAATTGAGTTGCAGCTAATTGTGGTTCCTATATTTATACAAGATCTTTCAAAGGTAAATGGCAATGATTTTTATTGAAGCTGCCAATAAAATAATTTATATTAAATTATATGTTTTTATCTTAGGTCAGTTTTCAAAGATTGAAGGAAATAGGGAATCTGTGCTTCCTGAAGAAACTAGAGGAGCATTGGAACTACTTAGAACATTATTTATTAAAAAACAGTCAAAATGAAGATAATAATGTTCATGAAATTTGTGAATTTGAAATTGATCATTTAAACCCTGATGTTTGTTATATTATTTGTTCTATTTATTTTATTTGTTTTATTTGAATTAATTTGTTTTATTTGTTTTATTCATTCATTTATTTTATTTGAATTAATTTGTTTTATTCATTTTATTTGAATAAAAACTTGTTGTCATGGAATAATTGTTTATTTATGTGATTTACCATAAAATAATTATAATAAAAATAAAAACTGCATTAAACACTTGCTTTATTTTTAAAAATTTATCCCTTAAATGAATTTTGGACCAAATCTGGTCCAAAATTCCAATTCTGGTATTTCACAGCTAATAAAAGTTTGGAGATAACTCTGGGTGTGTCATGTATTATTTAAAAAATGTTCTCAAATGGTATCTTAATATGTAAATAAAATAAAAAATGGTCATTATTGTGCAAGTTCTCTAAAATTATACTATGCTTTGTTCACAGAGTACAAAATCTACAAATTTTCTGAAATAACTAAAGGATTTCTGAATTTCTTTTTTTGGTATCATATGATTTTTTTAACAATTATTATTATGGACTGATCCAAAATTTAAATGGTGTGAGTTAAGGTTGCTTGCCGAAACTCCTCCAGAAATCAATTAGCAGGGTTTCGGCAGGTTACACAACAATTGTTTATTAGAGTTTTGGCAGAGTTTCACATTTTGAGGTTTTGCCATTTCGGCATAGTTTCAACAGGATTTTTG